CGCTTTCAAACGGACCTGTGGGTTAGAAGTGCTTGGGCTAGTTGGCATGGCATGACGACAGTTATAGCGCGAGAACAGAACGTCCTTCTTGTCTCTGTGTCGTCGTTTTGTTCTCGCGCTATAACTATCGTCCGACCTGTGTGCACAAGGCGACCACCTCCTCACGTTGCAGTTGGGCGTGAAAATTTCGCTTAACGTTCACTCCCAACATACTATTGAACTGACTGGACGCGTACAAGCGACAGTCGCTCAATGGGAGACTGCGACAACGATTATGTCATGAAAAGTAAATCCAGGGGGTGCATTTGCCGTGGTGAATATAAGAGTAGGCAGGCTTGAGAGCTGCGCAAGTTTTCTGCGGAAATCAATTTCATTGTCTCGAACCTCCGGTGCCTGCATGCACCATCAACATAGTTGGGCTTCATCAATACCATTTACTCGTCCCTTGCAGATGGCAATTAATGGCAGACGACAGCATCGAGGATTATCAGCTTGCATGCATTTAGCTAGAAGAGTTGCTGTCGCGGCATAGGTGGGCGTTGGGTTGTGTATTCATCCTTCACCACATGGTTGGTGCCAATCGCGTTCAGTCTGTTAAGCCTAGCACAGTCGCCGAATTCGTTGCTGTGGCTACCAACCGTCCTGGTCCGGCGTAAAGGTCATCAAACGTCTATTCCGTACACTGTGCACGCACAAAAACCGATAAGGAGCCACGCGGCGCAGCATCAACATCGGAATATTCCCTTCCCGAATTGCGAGGCGCGTTTTCCTTTAGTCAACCTTTCAAGAGAGCCCGTAAACTGTGTAGACAAAAAGATTACGTATACTACACTAAATATTGGCAGTTTAACAGCGCAAATATACGGTCACCTGCTCGCCGTTTTTCTCAGGTGTGCTTAACTGATATGTCCGATTTGGATTCCGTTTATGGAGCTCCTTTTTTACTTATCTGAAATTAATTTGAATTTATTTTCTTCGATATGCGCGGGAGGAGAGTATCGGCAACGTAAAATATGCCGGTACCTTAATACGGTCGCAAAATCGTCGTGTTAAGATCTTTGAGCGAAACCACACAATGCTGGAAACAATGGCAGTCATCTACAGAAAGCCTTCCCCGTTTCCTTCAGGTCGAGCGACGCTTACAGGCGGACTTTGCCACCGGGCTGCACAAGGTGAGCGCGACAGAAACGGTGCTGCGCCTGGTCCAACAATTCCGTCACCTGCGCGCGGCCCCAATATTTTATTCAAAACGAGACAAGCAGGCGAGCCGCCGAACGAGGACAGACGTCGCTTGCCAAAAACGTTCACGCGAAAGCATGCGCAAGCCGAAAAAAAACGCAACCATTGGACACGCGCCGCCTCGTTCTTTTCGCGCTCGGCAAGGCGACATTAGAAAGCCGGCCCCGCTTCTCTCGGAGCGCTGCGCGGCGGCAAGTGTCGGCGCTTAATCGCGAGCCGGAATCGATGCTCGCCGGCAGATGCGCCGGCCGCGACGAGCACCGCACATGTGCCATTCCGAAGGGGTCAACGCCTCGGCGTAGAACGAAAACTTACGCGCGTCCCTTCGGCGCCACAAATGCAGCTGCCCCGGAAGAATGCTCCGCTCAAACTACACACAACGCAGCAAAGCTTCACGACCTCGGCGCGACAGAAGCTTCGGCTGCACGCCGCGCAATCAGATATGCGCATAACCAATCATTTTTGTTTCATTCTTCCTCGCTCACTCGGAAATGTCTAATGTGTTTACAAACTATGGTCATTATTTTTGTTGACACGTAAACATTTTTCTGCTTCACGGCGACAAACCGGAGCGGTAGTGTGTGTTCTGTCCGCAAAAAAACGTTTTTTTTTTTCTCAATGTTCGCCGCTAAAATACGGTGGCCGAAGCGCGCGTAATAAACCGGCAGCACTTTCCGACCGCCTCAGTACGTCTGTTAACAGGGAAACACGTCAGCCCGGTAACCAATCCAGGCTCTGCCACCTGAACCACCAGGTGCCACTGACTTGTATCACACAATTTCGGGCGTAATTGGTGCGTACTGTACCTACCGATTACAACCTGGTTTCTCTCTTTGGCATAGAAACGTGACATGTTCGGGCGTTTTCTCTGACAACACACTTTTTCCTAACAGCAAACGGGGATCGGCATAGCTTTATTGGCGCTTTGAAAGGATGTATTGATTCATCAGATGCTTAGACCGCCCTGACATAGTGCCCAACTTTCGCGATCGCCTTTCTAGCCACATCCATCGGATTTTCAAGTACCTGCCCATTAGCTCGAGGCTCTGCCGGTAACCTCCGCGTGAGCACACCACGCCTCGGAATAATCGACTTAAAGCAACCGTCGATGACAATTGGGGGCAAACCGCTGCTTTTCGCAGCTGCAAAATGGAAACATTGTAATCTGTCAAACTGATTGATTTATATGCGCGGTTTAACGTCCCAGAGCCACCATATGATTATGAGAGACGCCGTACTGGAGGGCTCCGGAAATTTCAACCACATGGAGTTCTTTAACGTGCACCCAAATCTGATCACACGGGCATACAGCCATTTCGCCTCCATCGAAAATATTGTCGGACAAGTTTTCGAGGTAACACAAGTTACGAGCTTGGTTCCGACATGATATTACCAAAATACGCCCTCCGAATATTCTAGACTGCCAACCATCGGATCCGCGCAGGGAGCACATCTTTCCCCCCCCCCCCCCCCGTGGTGTGTGAAAGACCCCGTACGAGCAGGACAACAGACAACATGCAAAACGAACGCGCGGAGTTGGGGGCGGGGACAAGGCCGTAAAACACGCCGGAATTCTGAAACGCCCGAATGGCTAGAGCCGGGAATAAAGAGAGCCAACAAATCTGCATAGCAGTAGCGCGCCTGGCAAAGCGTGTCGTTGGCGCCGCGGCTGACGTGCCACCGCGCAGCGAGGACGGTGAAGCGCGAAGAAAACGGCACCGCAGGCAAACAAAGCACGGATGCCGGCTCGAGAAGCCATCGGCCAGGCCGCCCGGGTATCATATGCACGCACGGACACTCGCCATTACCGAAAAACGACGCCGGATAAAAGGAAGGCGCATCGCTTGAACAAAAGCGGTCCGCGAGAACGGCTGGAGAGGGGGAGGCAGCAAAGAAAAAAGATGCGGCGCACAATGACGGGAAGGAAGTGGGCGCCGCAAGGAACAAAAAGCATCGCGGCGGCCAGACTGGGAAAGAAGGCCGACAGCTCCGGGGCACCTGCGGCCGCGACAGACGATGCCCGGCGCTAGGACGCCGCCGGACACCGGTCAAAGGCATCTGGCACCAGGAAGAGACGCTCTTCTTGTGGGCAGATTATGTTTTCTCTCTCTCAAACCACGGCAAATAGTGCCAATGAAAAGGTGGCTGCTAGACCAATCAACTTTCGAGGGGCCTTAAATTCAAAAGTCATATGTCTATACTTGCTTGAAGCGCATGAACTCTTGAAATTGCTAAGGCTTGCTGAAAATGACCATCAATAGAACCGAGCAGAAGCACTGTGGAATAATTGCAAGCGTTGCTGCAGATGCATTACAGAAAACAGCAACGCAATTATCAGCAGCCCTCTTCCAAGGCTAACCAATGATTATACGTGCCAAGAACAGCCAGCACTCTGCACTTATTTCTATGCACACCTGTGAAAGCAACAATGAATTATATTCAATGGATACCACATCATTTGCATAAGCATGTTCTAAAATCGGCATATTGACGCATCAGTGCAAAAAAGAAAGCAGTCTGTGTGCGCATGTGGCAATAACATCCCACATCTTGATAGGCAAGCTCGATAGCACTCTGGCCTGTAATACCCTCCCACATGCCTTCCAAAAATGAATGCAATCAGTGCAGGTTGCCCCAATGAGACTCAACCAAAGCCCACTTATGGTTTTCCTGTCAGTGACACAAATTGTGATGAACCAAGTATTCAGGCTGCGTTACTGCATACACCTGCCACAGGCCACCAGCACTCTAACAACAGACACAAATGGTTAGTACTTCCAAGAGCTGGATATAGCTACAGTGTAAAAATGCCAAACTGCCACATTATCTTATCTGATGTTTGTCACTGTCCACCTCAGTGATTCCTTGTGCAATGCTACTAACCACAATATGATACATCCCTCTCTGTTTAATCAGCATACAAAAAAATATGCAATTCTGCTCACATGAGTGTTTGATTTGCCTTGTCACAATATGATAAATATATACTAGAAGCAGAGATAGCATGCCAATGAGCATTCATTGCTAGTCTCAGCCTAGTACTGTGCCTTCAGTGAAATTTTTTGAACTGCAAATAATGTGGCCCCTGTTGACAGCGACACCATGTTTCAAGGTGCCAATAAGCCCCAGCACGTTAACCTGGTCAGCAAAATAGCAAACTGAGAAGACGCTTAAAATATCATCCCATTTTAAAAAGTGTTACAATAGTTGCACACTTTAATGCTCCGCCATGTGCATCATCCAAGAATAGAATTCCACTATTCGCTAAAATATATCGCGATGATTTGACTTGTAATTGAGAGCTAGTCTCAAAGCTACAACACACAGCAGGCATTACAGCATTCCAAGAGTGCAGACAGGTATAGCCCTATGTTTAGTGTTTTCTTTTCTACATTTCTCCGTTGACGGTGTAACTTAATATTCAAAATTACAGTCGCACTGGCATTTCTGTGCATACTAATGTAGCCAGCTTCTTCTTGAAGAATTTCCTGCACAAAGAAATGTGAAGATTTTAAATCTTCCACGAAAAAGCTAACTTTTTTTATGGGGTTATGCCATGTGGCCAAGAAAAATTGTTTTTGCTTACAAAGAACACATTGCTTCAATATAGCAGCACTTGATCATGCTAAGGTGGGTTTGCATTAATAATGCATGACTTCATGGAACACATGCAAGGAAACCTAATAATAATGACCGGGAACTGTGACCAGTGCAGTCGTGGGCTGCCAGAACAGAAATGTACAGAAAGATGGACCGCTTACCAGCTCTTCCAGGGGACCGGGCCAGCACCCAGAAGTCGATGGACTTCTCCTTATCCAGCTGCTCGTAGTCCCATTTTTCCTTGACGCGAACGTCGCCGTTCGGGCTGACGTAGACCCAGCGATCGGCCTTCTCGAGCTCGAAGGTCTCGTCGACCGCCTTCTTGTCGAGAGTGAAGACAGTCTTGTTGACGTCGCGGCCCTTGGTCTCCTCGAAGCGGTACGTCTTGGTCGGCCGTATCGTGACCGTGGAGCGACGCACGCGCGTCTGCGAAGTTTCCAGGCTGCGCGGCGTGGGCGGCTCGAACACCTCCACCTTGACGGCGACAGCGCGTCCGAATCGCTGTGGCTTGCCGCGGTCGCCCACACGCAAGCTCATCAGGTACGACTTGGGCTCGAGGCCGCGCGTGACCATGAGCTCGCCCGTCTTGGGCACCACGGTGAAGAACGGGTGGCGCTCGGCCAGGCGAAAGCTGACGCTGTCGCCGTCCGCGTCCGAAGCGCTCACGTTGCCCACGATGGTGAACGGCTCAGAGTCGCGGGAAACGCGAAACACGTACGCTTCCCTGTCCGCCACCGGGTCGTTGTCGTTCACGTCCAGCACGTCAATCAAGAGGCGCGTCAGCGCCGAGTCAACGTCGTCGGAGGCCCGAAGATTCAGCTCGTAGCGGCGGCGACGTTCGCGATCCAACGGCCGGCTGGTGCGAAGAGCCAGCCGCGTAGAGTTGGCGTACAACCGGGACACGCTGAAGTCCTCGTGGCTGCCGTCCTCGTCGGGCACAAGTTCGTACTTGACGCCGCGGCTGGCGTCCCGCGTAGCACCGTCCAACTCGAGCACCGTCGTCCCGGCGCACTCGTTCTCGAGCACGGCACCCCGGAGCTCGGACTTGGGAAACTTGAGAAGCTGCTGCTTGGGAATTACGTGCACGAGCAGCTCGCGATCTCGATGCGTGCGCGGCCAACTCGGAAAGTCTGTCTCGGTCACAACCAACTTGCCCGGCTTCCCGACCAAATGGGACACGTTGGTGGCGACCATGAGCAGACCGTCGCTAAGCATGCTGAAGCAACGGGCTACTCGGGGTTCTCCGGTCAGGCTAAAGGACTGACCCAGGTAGGGAAGCTGTTTCACGCTAAGGCCAGGGTAGACGTCATCCGGTAGGACCAGCACCTTGTCTGAACTCGTCTTGCTGTGACTGGGTACCCAAAGCGCGACCAGTACGACTACGGCACAGATCAGTCTTGGGGGAAGCGCCATCGCGAAGCGTATCCCCGGGCGCACGGTCTACCGGAAAGCCGGCTTCAGGCGGCGTTCCACCGAGACTTGCAAAGGCGTCGCTCCTCCGTCACCGTCGAACCTGAACTCGGTAAGTGAAACGTAAACGAACAGGGTCATCAAAACTTTTCTAGCGACAAGCGTTGAATGACGCATCGCTAAATGGTCCGCTCTCTCATTCACAAAACAAGTCAATGCACTCTACCGGAGCTCAGTGACGTTCCGGCGTCCTTGTTAACCCTAACGTTGGTTTTGCGAACATGTAACCGACGAACGTACAAATTCGATTTGCACAATACAGCCGCGCACAAGCCGCTCAATCCTCAGCAATTAAAAGCGACGCAACGATAGCTCAACTAACTAAGATACGGTAACCAGCCAAGCACACGCAAAACAAGACGAACTGCAACGAGCAGGAGCAGTAGAGACCTTAGAGGGTCAAACGAACAGTTGCTTTCCTTTCGAACACTCCCTTTCGAAACTCGCAGCGCTGCTACTCCCTACACGTTCAATAACTTTGAGTGCAGTGAAAACTGGGGCACATGCATTGAAAAATAATAACGGTGCACTCGTATTCTCGCAACGATGGGGGTGTGAAGCACAGCATAATAAATGTCACTCCGTTCGTTCCGGTGCCTCGCTCGGCTACGGATCGCACGGATACAGTCGATACGCGCGGAACGTTCAGCCATCTTTGTAGAGCGAAATAACAGACAACGGCTTACCTTTCCAAACGGAGATTAGATCCATAGAAATTTAAACGCGCGCATTTGCTCCCAACACCAAACACCACCGAACCACGCCAAGCCGACTCAATAGACAACGGCAGCGGCGGCGGCGGTGGCCATTCCGCAAAACAGCGGCACTCCCTCTCTATTTGAAAAAAAAAAAAGAAACGGAGAAAAAAAACAAGATTTCTTTTTATTAATATGCTTGCACGCTTAAAAAACAATGCAATATTTTATTGAAAATTTTGTACTCCTAGCACAAAAAATACGTTTTAATGCAACTTTTTTTTACGAAGAAAGAATTTACGGAGGGCGCGCGGGTGCGTTCGCCGCTGGAAACAGCGGCTTCCGGCTGCCGCTGGCGCCATTGCTCGTATCTTCTTGTGCAAAGGTGCAGTGTTGTAATACGTCGAGCTAGTTTAGCTGTATTTTGAATTATTTTGTTATCAACTGTTTGGCCAGCCGTACTGAATATGAACCACAGCGTTGTAGAGTGTCTATGCATTCTTGATTCATTCAGTATTTATGGTAGGAATTTCGCAGATTTCGCGATGGCTTGCAGGCCTCCTCTTATTCGATTGTTTTAATCGATCTATTCATGAAGATGTGATAGCTACCGTACTTTTTTTTTTTTTAAATGACATGAAGTGCCGTTTTGCATGTAGACATGCATTATAGTACTGCGCGCCGCGTTTCCCATCGGCCACTAGTCTGCTGTGCTCATTTATTGATTTTTCATACCAGTGTTCGCGCACAAGCAGATAAGCAATGCGCAGGCTCCAGCTATGTTTATACAGGCCTGCCGCTGTTATGGTCGACAGAAAGAGTATCACCAGAATATCAAGCTGGTACAAGTGATTCTGCAAGCATAAAATTTCAGTTCCTCCTACCATTTGATTGGATAAGTCGAGGTGTGGTTCTCTCCAAGTTCTGTGGTCACTAAAGTGTTAAGCCAGTTGAAAGAAAGAACAGGTGCTTACCTTGATTTGTTTCATTGTCTTTCTTGCGAAGTGACGTGTGTGCTATCAATGAACGTATAATTGCTCTCTTAAAAGTGTAAGAGCGCCATTATATAATATGTGGGGACCACCGTATGGTTATGAGAGACGCCGTAGTGGAGGGCTCCGGAAATTTTGACCACCAGGGGTTCTTTAGCCTGTAACCAAATCTGAGTACACGGGCCTATAGCATTTTCGCCTCCATCGAAAATGAAGCCGCCGCAGGTGGGATTCGATCCCGCCTGCGGTCCTGATCAGCAGCCGAGTACCTTAGCCACTAGACCACCGCGGCGGGGCCATAGTTATACAAGTACGAGAGGGAGGTGTCGCAGTAGTCCATATTCAGAAAGACTGTCTTTAATAAAAAGAAATGGTGGCAGAAAGACCGGTAGCAAGGACCATGGTTTTGTTAAGCTTGCTTCTATCATTATCAAGTTTTCTAGAACATTAGTTGTTGATGGGTACTCCTATTCAGATGCTTTACTCAGTAGTCTTAGCTTCCATTTTGTGCATACATTCTCTGCCAAGTCTTATAGATATTGCACTTAGCAACCATTAGAATTGCCCTACTGTAGTTGAGTGATGGTGGTGCTGTTCCATGGTTTGAATAGCTTCTTCTTGCTTATAATAACAACGGGGTAGAAATATGCTCGGCCGCTGATGACCAGGCAGCTTGCAACGACAACTAGTGGAGAAGACGCCATGTTTTCAGCAGTCGGAGAGATTAACTACAAAGGCCATCATGTTGATAAGTGTCAGGTCAAGCCAACGTAATACAATTGGCTTATTCAGAAAGGTGCACATAAAAGTGGAAATTGTCACGTATGATGTTAGTCACTATGACATCAAATTTAATAGGGCAGGTGCTTAATTTTGTTTCACAAAATAAACGTGAATAATAATTTCCTAGCACTGCCATGCTATTCTTGCCATTACAGCCATCAAGTCCCCATTTTGAATCGGCTAAAGATGTAAAACTCTGATGGGTTTATTGAAACCATAAAGGCCTGTTGTTTGCTCTGACTGTGCCACTTCATATAGTGTTGCTGCAGGAGCGCATCTTGCACTGTTATGGTCAATACTGCAATCAGCCGAGCTTACCTGCCACACGATATCTGCAGAATGAGCCTGTTTAATTTCTTGAGCGACGTGCTTGATGCTCTCTGTACTGTTTTGCAACTAAGCAATTAAGATTTGTTTAATTTTAGTAAAGATGTATCGGTTACAATACGTTAGTTAACTGTGTGGCATGGAAAATCTTGGTTTTCTATTTAAGTTGTTATATAGCACTGTTTAAAGACACTGTGTATAGGAATGTTTACGACACGGGATGTACAAAACAACTGGTGTCATTACTGTAATTTTAATATCAAGATGTCCGTCACTAGGAAAATCAAGAGCTTTTAAGTGTGTTCACAATACCAGAGAAGAACTGCAGTGATGTATTTCAAACTGTTGTCCGAACAGTGGGCCTAAATACCTGTTTATACATTCATGCTATCATACATCTCAGTCAGAAGTGCCACTCAGCCTGATTGGCTTATAGACACTGTGCCATCACAACCTCAACTTCATGAACTGATGATTACTATCATCATCAGCCTGGCTACGCCCACTGCAGAACGAAGGTCTCACACACGTTCCGCCAGTCAAGTCGGTCCTGTTCTTGCTGCTGCCACTTTATACCGGCAAACTTTCTAATCTAACCTGCCCACCTAACTTTCTGTCTCCCCTTCATTCACGTGCCTTCTCTTTGAATCTAGTCTGTGATCCTTAATGACCAGCCATTCCCTTGCCTTTGCACTACATGCCCTGCCTATGACTATTCCTTCTTAATTTCAATTGTGATGTCCTCAACTCCTGTTTGTTTGCTGATACACTCTGCTCTCTTTTTGTCCCTTAGGGTTACACCTATCACTATCTTCCATTACTCGCTTTGTCGTCCTCAAGTTAAGTTAAACCCTCCTTGTATTCCTCTAGGTCTCTGCTCTGTAGGTAAGTACAGCTAAAAGGTAGCTCTTGTATGCCTTCCTCTTGAGGGATAGTGGCAATCTACTATTCATGATTTGAGAATGCTCGTCAAATGTGCTCAACCCCATTCTTATTATTTTAGTTACTTCAATCTCGTGGCTTAGCTCCACAGTTACTACTTGTGCTAAGCACACATACTCTTTCACAACTTCAGGTGCACTGTTACCTATCTCAAACTTGCACTTCGTCGATGACATTGCATAGGTGAGTTACTCAAGGGGCGAATTGCAATTCGTGATTACTGAATTAGACAAGAGCAGAAAGGTAGGTCTTAAAATCAATCAGCAGAAAGCGCAAGTAATGTAGAAAAACCTCGGAAGAGAACAGCGCTTCGAGGTGATCACTATGGTAATAGCCAAATATTATTCCTTCACAACTTCAATTACAAATCATACTCCTCGGAGCAGATATTCAAGTGCTTTTCAATGCAAGTGGCCATCAGATGCTTAATTTTGTGGCCATATGCCCCATATATTTTAGTCTACATGAAATACAAGTTGAATTTTACAATTTTATGAGTGAAAAACAAAGACATGTGGCATATTGTAGGGGAGGCTCCACGTAAATTTTGGCCAACATTTACAGGCACATTAAGAAAAGACGTGTTTGCACTTTGTCATATCTGAATTCGGTTGCTAATTGCACATAACAAAGTGAGAGCCCGCGTGCTTCACTTGGGTTGTGTTACATCTTAAATACGCACTTTCCAACCATGGAGCATTGGTGTTATAATTTCTTCAATGGCTTGAAGCTGTGATTTATTAATGAAAACATGAATATACGGATGAAGATAAAGTGAGGCTAAGCCTGCGCTCTTCTGAGTTTCCTCATTTTACCCCTGTGGTGGCTCTTATGCTGTGCGCTCTTTCTCATGCCTCCCCAATTGGCCCAAGCAATCAATCTGTGAGAGTTTGTTCAGAATATTCAACTTTTTTATGTGAATAGCCTTCTTGGGAAACTTAATCCGCATCCAGCCTTCCTTCAATGTGTAGAGCACGACAAGGACGAAGGCATACCCACGACTCCTTAATAAAAAAACAAATGTTTGTTAGCCATTCCACCCTGTCAATATGGACAAGCAGCAAAGCTGTTGAGTACAAAATACAGAGCTCACATGGCAGAGGCCAGTCCAGGATCAAACGCCGGGCTGTGCTCAAACCTCTCTGTAGAGTCTACGTGACACATGGATGATGACACCACTGTCAAGGTGCACATGAAGTGACATTTACTTGCCAAGTCCACCTACAAGACAACATGCTCCGCTTCATGACATGAGTTGTCTTGCTTGGCGCATTTCATGCACGATCTTCAAATGTGTTTTCCGCCTGCTGATGCCGTTTAGTATCTCGTAGCTGTTCCCTTCGTCTAGTCGGCTCATCATTCTTCGGGAGTGCTAACTATACGTGGCCATACCGTAGCTGCTACAAAACATAATGGGCTACTCTTCAGCTGGTTGTTCAGTTGATTTTACTGTGCTCCAGTGTGAACGTTTTTTCTCTGCTGTAAATAGGCTTCGCAGTGTGGGAAAGCCAGCTTCGAAATATTAACCTTACAGTGATGCTCATAAAGTTATCTTCACTTTTAAACGCAAATGCATTACTAAAAAGATATTTTTGCCGAGTAAAAGTAAGCCTTTTATCTTTTGTGTATTTTTTTTCTCAAAGTTCCAATTTGCGGACTCTACGAAACCTCGGATCTCAGCCACATGAAGCTTCGTTGTAATAAAGGAACTCTGGATCCTCATACACGATGCTTTGACGTTTTACCACTCACGCGAACCAGTTACACGCATGTCGGAGAGCTCCTGCAGTATTAGCGACGATGGCGCAGAATGTCCAGGAAGAGAATGGTCCCACTCCCATTCTTCAATGCATGTCTCATGATGTGTTTCCCTATTGGGTTGTGTAATAAGGCCGGTGTGTCGCAACATATTTTCATAGATTGTTGTAGCTTTAATGAGGACGTCATTGCTCGTAGGATGGAGTAATGTCATCGGGCTGTTTGTTTTTCTGTTTAGCTTTTATGAGTTCGTTCTTAGATTGAGCGTCGTCCTTCGACTTTGTCATAGCCCTGTAACTCGAGC